GTAAAATAAAAGACTTACGACTGAGATATTACACCCTTTACACTCACCTCGAAAAGATGACTCCTCAATTCCTTCCTCGAAGAAACCCCTCCTTAGCCGGATTATCTTGGGGAAACCTATTCATAAGAATCCATTCTCTTAGACGACCTTTCTAGATTTAAAACCCCTTTTGAATCACTAGAACATCCTCTCCTCAAACTCCAGTCCTTGAACCTCATTCCAAGGGTCCTTTAACCCCCACTAAAATTTTCTAGAATTAATCCCTTAAAAAACGACCATTTTTCTTAATTATTTTAGTCTTGGACGAATTTTTCACCTAACTAGAACCTTCTTAAAATTTTGAATAATAATTTTTTCCATGTCAATCATGAGCCCCTATACCCTGTAAAATTATCAAACCCTTAAAAATCCCTCGGAAAGATTTTTATTTAATTAAAACAAATATTAGAAAAATTTCTAAAAATATAAATACATCTCCAAAAATCCCCAAATTAAATTAAAATCATCTCCTAGACGTAGCTCAATTTATAAAATTTCTATATCCAGAAAAAAATCTTCAGAGAGGCTCGAAACAATTTAAAAGATCTAAAAATACGTTTCTGGAAATTCCCAACAGTTTTAGTGACCAAACAAAATCTGTCACTAAAAGCATGTAAAGCCTGTTGCGAAAACCCAGAATTGCTTATTCACGAAAAATCACCAAATCGATCGATCTAACTCAAAAGGATCGAGTTCCCTTACCTCTAGAACGTGCCTACGCCCAGGTTGGATGACCCGGGACGTTGATCTCCTTGTTGATCTAACCCTCAACGTCACCGCTAATAAATACGAACTTCGGATTAGGCTATCAATATATCGAGTTTAGAAATCGCGAATGGGTTCGTTATCCTTACCTAGAACGAAAGGGATGGGGTCGGGATTGGGAGTTGGTGCTCCCTTTCTTCCTTTTTTTTTCCTTTTTACTTTTCCTTCTCCGCGCAACTGCTAGGGATTTGCGGCGGGGAACGAGAGAAAGAGGTGGGGTGAGTTTTGTGCTCGACAATTATTATTATGGGGAGGGGGGAATTAATTGGGAGGGGGAATGGAGGCGCCCACCCCGCCCCACTTTGTTTAATTTTTAATTTTTTTAATAAATAATGTTGTAATAATAGTATTATAATAATAATGTTATAATATTATTATTTTTAATCCGCGATTGTAACACTTAGTACCTAACCGTCTATCCAACCATCAATCCAACCGATCACGTATTAAAGTCGAACCTAACTCGAAAATACCGAGGTGTTATTGTAACACCCCGACTTTGGGTTCAGGTTCGACCAAAATACGCGATCGGTTGGTTTGTCGGTTAAGTACTAAGAGTTACAACCGCGGGTTAGAAATAATAATAATAATAACTATTATTATTATTACTATAAAAAAAAATTTATATGCAGACCTAGAGGGCCGAGCGGCCCTCAATTATTTCCCCAAACCCCTCCCTCGTTAGTTTTTCCACCAGTGGCAGGCAAGAGAGGAGAACCGCCGCCTCAATGATTTCCTAAAACCCCTCCCAAAAAGACAAAACACAGCGGCTCTTGGCCAGAGGAAAGAAAGCGATCTGCGGCGGAACTCATTGGACCAGAAAAAAGAAAAGCTTCCGTCCCAATATATTTATACATGATGGAGCAACGGAATTGATGTTGGAAGCGAAAGGAATAAAGCGGCGTTCAAGGTATGTCCGTGTCCGCTTCACCCCCTGCTTCAGGTGGAACCACTATGCCATTGTGCTTTTGTGCATGCATGAATCCACGTGGGAGCTTAATTCAGCAAGGGCAACGTGGAAGCAATTTTCTAGCTAGTTCGTAGTTCAATGGGCAGGGATAATAATTTTTACAAGCAGGGTGCGATTGGGAAGGGCGGTAGAAAGAAGGTGGATAATTCACTGAACGAAGACCCACAGCCAACCGTTGTCAGGAAACAAATTGATCCGGAAACGAAAACATACTTCTCATAGATTGCAAATCTCTTTGAAAGCAGGAGATTGACTTAGAGGAGCGGTCAGTCATATGCGGCACAAAAGTGGGAATTTTGATTGAAGGCTTGCTCATGCACGTGGCTGATGAGGTTAAGGAAGAGAGATGAAGTAACCAGGTACAAGCACTCTTACATTGAGGTTGATCGACTCATTACTAAGGTGAGTGTAAAGGGGGTAAATTTTACGCCTTACGTATTCTTTTAAGTATTATGATTTTAAGTATTTTAGGTAATTGGTTACCGTTGCTTGATTAGGTTTATTGATTGATTATTTGTGCTTTGCTTGAGCTATGATTGAGGTGATTTTGTGCTATTTGAGGTGATTTGAGGTGATTTTGTGCTATTTACCTTAAAGTGTTATGTTTGAGTTATGGTTAAAGCTTAAGAAGCAAGTTCTTTTAAAGAAGTAATTCACCTTCAAGAAGGTGAAGTCGTTTTAAGTGTTTTTAGTCGCTAGTGCCAGTCCGTTGCCATTTAAGATTTTCAGATAGAGCAGCAGTTATGCTCTGGAGATCTTTGAGATAGAGCAGCAGTTATGCTCTTGAGATATTTAAGTTGGGCAGCAGTTATGCCCTTGAGAATCGTGGTGAAGAGCCACCACGATAAGTTTAAGATGTTAGGGGGATGAATCCTTACGACTTCCCTAACTAAGTTTAAGTTTAAGGAAAGCCTGAATGGCTTCTCATACGTATGAGTTGGCAACCGGACTAGCTAGTGACGGATCCCCGTGTCAGTCAAGTATTTAAGTCAAGTTTTGAGCTTTAAGAGAGGAGAGTAACTTCAACTCCCTCAAAGTTTAAGAGTTAAGATTTTAAGATTGGAAGTACAAACAACTTCCACTAGTCAAAGTTAAGTGTTTAAGTAAAGTACTCAAGTATTAGAATTATTAAAACGTAAGGGCGTAGACTGACCCCCAACTCACTCACCAGGCCTTAGTAAGGGAATGAGCGAGAACTGGATCGGTAGCAGTTAGCTAGAGGAGCAGTTAGAGAGCAGCGAGTTCGAGAGCAACCAACTAGAGGAGGGCAGTGCAAGCGTCACGGAGGATGCCTAGTTAAGATTTCCAGTAGCAGCAACGACAGAGACTACCTAGTTATTTACATTTTATGATTATGAGTATAGACTGGAGATCATATTGAGATTTAAAGTTTGAGTTTAATTTGCCCACGTGTTAGGGCTTTGCTCTGAGCTACAAATGTGTGTTTTCAGTATTTTATTTATGAAAATTTTTCCCGCTGCGATTTAAGATTTGAGCATTTTATTTATCAAGGGCATTTTAGTAAAAGTAGTACCCAGCCGGGTTAGGGTGTTACAGTTATACTATCTCTGCTAATGGACGAGAGGGGGAAAGCAGTGATCGGTGGCGAAGGCAAACCAAGGAGAAGCAGCCAACGCGGATTGTGTGGGAGGGGAGAATAGTCGACGCGGAGGACACCATCATTGTGAGACAGGGTGTCCTACTGCGAGAGCATCTTGCTTTGGTCCATTTAATTCAACCACCTGAGCAACTTGCTCCACGATAATGACCAAAGCAAGATGGTCCATTTAAAGCAAGCTGTCCATTTAATTCCAATTGTGCCAAGCAAGCTCCTCCACTTTATTCAAGCAAGTACGAGTGTAATAAGTTGGAAGCGAGTGGTGCAAAATCAGAGCCAGTTCCGACGGAAGTATGGTGAGTGTAAAGGGGGTAAATTCCACGCCTTACGGTTTTTCAAATATTTGTCTGGAGTATTTTCAAGTATTGATTTACGTGATGTATGTGCAGTGTTTGATTCATGTTTGAGATTGCATGATTATGTTTGATAGTATGTGCTTTGGTTGAGCTATGATTTGAAGTGAAGATGTATGAGTTTATCTCTTACATTGAAGTTTACGTTTATGAGTGATTATTAAAACTTAAGAACAATCCCTTTTAAGAAATACTTCACCTTCGAAGAAGGTGAAATCGTTTTAAGTGTTTTTAGTCACTAGCGCCAGTCCGTTGCCATTTGAGATTTTCAGTGAAATTTGAGTATTTTATTTATCAAGGGCATTTAGTAAAAGTAGTACCCGGCCGGGTTAGGTTGTTTCATTTTTCCTTCACTTCACGACCCAAAACTCGCCGGAATCCTCAAAATCTCGTCGGAAAATTGCCATTTTTCGATAATTTTTGCTCTTTTCACCCACTTCCGGCTAGCCAAACCAAAACCTAATCACAACCCATTATCCCCTCGTTAAGGGCGGCCTTCGCCAAAATTTTGGGAGGATGAGGAGCACATTTTTTCCGGTGAAATCGCCGCCGGCGAGCTTCTGGCGAAGCTCCGGCAACCCTCCTCCGGTCTGTTTTCGGCCAATTTTTCGCCTCCCTCGGCCTCTCCTCACTTCCCCTACCTTTCCTACTTGAGTCTCCAGGTTTGTTTTCAACTCTACCTTGTTTAATTTTGGAGAATCGGATTAGGTAGTGAAGTGAGGAGAATTTTAGTGAATTGAATGTTGAAATTAGCATTAGGGTGAGGAATTAGGTGAATTGTGGTGATGAATGATTGAATGTTTGCATGAGCTTAGTTGAGCCTTGGTGGGCATGTTTTGATTCAAATTGCTTTTATTTGTGGAATTTTCCTACCAAGTGCTATTTAATGAATGAATGTGCAAGTTTAATGCTTAAGTGGTGGATGGTAGCCACCGTGGCACGGTTCGGGTTTTATTTTTGTGTGGATAATCCGTGAAACAGCTAGGACCATGCCTCGATGTGCTTGAGCTTAATTATTTCAAATAGCATGGGCCTGTAGTGGAAACATAAGTGTGTGTGTGTGGGGGGGGGGGATTTCTTTTTCATCCCAATGAGTTGAGCTTAACAATTATTTCCACGTATGATGCATGTTTGTCGGTTTTTGCAGGATGCTTAATTTGGAGCATGAGTACATCAGTTACTTGGTGAACCATGCACAGTTCGGGACAAGTTTTCCTTTTAGCGGGACAGTCCGATTGGACCATATTGGAGGCTAGACGTGGATATGTTTAACATGTTCAGGTGTCGTCCGCGATGTCAGGGGCCGCATATCACCCCCAGTGGCACCAGTTGCTGTCAGTGGACGAGCTCATCTACCATGTGCTTTGCGTGGAGTTCTGCTCCACCTTCTCCCACGTCGTCCCGACGATAAAGAAGAGTCGACCCCACGTGGAGTTCATGCTTGGAGGTCAGCCACAGGTGCTGACTTATGATGCCTTCGCCCAGGCCATGGGGCTCAACACCACCTACATGACGATGACGGAGCGGCAGTACACCATCAATTTCCACTACTAGGCTGCATTCCACGCCCTCTGCCTCCCACTTCTCCACTTGGAATTTTGAACTCTTTTGTTTTATTTTTCTTTCTTTTATTTGGTATGTGTAAACAACCACTACTATCGAATTGTTTTGTGCAATAACCTCACTCAATCGAGTATGTGTTGTGTTTGTGTGTGTGTTTTTGTCTTCTCCTTGAAGCTCAAATCTTCTACCCCAGGAAATTCCAACTTTCACTCACAAAGCAAAGCGGTAACATCGTTCTACCCCTATCTTATGCTATGACCACACCCAGCATGGTGTCAGGTCCGATATGACTACACCGGCAGTGGTGGGTCCAATATGACCGCATCCACGAGATGTTTGGTCCGTATTCCCGGAAGAGTAATTAGCATGGGAGTAGCCAGGCGCCTATGATTAAAACATGATAAGATGCATATGCATAAGTCAAGGTGGTAGAATCTTTTGCCTATTGGGATGTGAGGATGGCTGAGGTTCGATCCTAGTGTTTAGGCTTGATTTTTAGATGTATGATAGGGGTATGCTCTATTATGAACTCACGATGCTATGATTATCTCACTCAGCTATGAGCTGACCCTCTTTTATTCTTCTTCTCTGTTGATGCTATGTGTAAGCAGATCATCAGCAGCATAAGTAGATAAGTGTTAGGTGGGAGAGGAGCTAGAGTTGAAGCCAGGATGAGGTATGGTCTTCAACTATTCTGTGCTTGGATGACTACTCGGGGATTTGGCCAGTGATCCACACCTTTTTGTAAAAATGTTTTGAGAACGTTTTTCATGTGCATACTAGCTTCTGATGTAGTGTGAGATATCCACAGGTGTGGAAAGTTGATGATATGTGTATATGTTGTGTAACTGTGTAAGTTGTGACGATTATGGTATGTATAAGTATGGTATGCAGTTGTGGAGTATGAAAAGTGTGACTGGCTAAGAAAAGCCAATGCATATGGTTGTGAGTATATATGTTTGTGATGAATTATTTTGCAGGATAAGTTGCAAGAACTGTTAGCCCATTACGCGAGTAATTCATGTCGAAATTTTATTTGGGTAAATTTTGATAATTAATGTAACACCCGAGATTAATTCCGCTGCAATTGTATGAACAATATGATTAGGCAAAACGAATATGGTAGGCTGTTACAAGATCTTTCTCGCCGTCGATAGTCACTGGCGTCCTTCCTTTACGACATTGTAGCTGCCGATACACTAATCCGGATGAACCTCTGTATCATTGGTGAATTTTGAGTTGAGTTTGTCATTGTTGGAAGTCGACGTGTAATTCGATTCTAATTGCACATGTTTTCACCTCGTATTCTTGTTGTGTTTGGGTCGTTTACATCGCTTAAGTTTCGATTTTATGCTATGTTATGTATGTTTACAGCATGTTCTAGTTCTAGTAGGTGATATTGGCCTTGGAAGCGAAAGGTGACTGAAAGAGGGTGAAAGCAGGTCGAAAAGGGCGAAAAGTCAAAGATCAAGATTAGAGCAACTTTTTCACGCCAGCCGACTGGGAACAAGAGGGCCAAAGGGCCAGACCGTGAAGCACATCGACGTCCGGAAAGTTTGGTACACCTCGCATGCCTAAAATTTGTCACGGTCATCAGACCGTGATAATGCCATCCAGTCCATGAAGGCCCTAAATGAAACATTGTGTTTTTGCCCGAGATCACGGGCATGTTTTCATGATCAGGCCCGTGATAATCGACCTTGATGAGCGCGCAATTGGAGTATAAAAGGAGAAGGAAGCTGAAACTTGAAGGGGATCCAAGTGAGAGATTGTCATCTTCTAATTTTAGAGAGAGAAACTGACAAATAAAAGGAGAATAGGAGGTTTAGGGTTTGTTCCTAGCTAGAGGATTGAATATTTTAATCTTCCAAGGGTGATTTCAACAACAAGGAAGGAAGTCAAACAGCACACCATGGTTCTTTCCCTCCTCTTTGTTGTAATGCCTAGTTTAGCTATGGAGTATACCTCTTTTTCACTTGGGTATTGTGAACCCTAGCCTAGAAATGTGATAGGTTGTTAGATTTAAACTCTATTTGTGTTGATTGTGTGTTTTAATATAATGCTTGAGGTATTTTCATGAATTGTGGATGTTGGGTTCCATATCTCATTTGGGTCAAATTGCCCTAGAAGGAGGAAATCCCCTCCTTGCCCACTTCTTGAAAAATTGGGTAACCACTTCTAGGGCAATTAGGGACACACCTCAAGTATCGATTTAGCGTCACGATTTGATTGTGTTTTACCACTTTGTTGTCGTTCCGGATTAACCTCCGAAAGATTGGTTAGCAATCCTTAGTCGATTGATTGAGAGAGCTAGGTTTCCTAGCTTAATTGCTTTTCCTTAATCGACTGTCTAAGAGAGTGGGAATTTTCCACCAGTTGTGCCATCCTCCCGGTATAAGAACACACTATTTCGCACTAGAGCTCTTATTATTGCAACTTGATACAAGGCTAGGGGTAGCAATACCCGGGTGAAGTTTTCTCATATAGAATCCACAACAATTCAACTGCTTGCTTGCTTGCTTGCTTTAAATTGTAGTTTGTAGTTTTCACTCAAAACCTCTAGCTAGAAAACGTTTTAAACGGTTGAAGTAGGAGTACATGGACCGGCCCGAGTTGACATTTTAAAACGCTTGCCTTATACTACACCCTACTAGAGTTTATACTTGGGCTCTAGTCGAGATTTTATTTGTGTAGTTAGGAACAAGTCAAGTTTTTTGCGCAGTTGTCGGTGAAAGTTTATGGTCTATTATTCAGAAAAAGTCGTTTGGTGTTAATCTGGCTTTTAATGTTTGCATAGTGTTTTTGAATCTTGCTTGTCTGGGCTTGAGTTGTGTTTTGTGAAGTGTGTGCAGGAGGTGTATGACCTGGAGCAATCCGACACCTTTGGAGCCACTAGACAAGAGAGAGTTGAGGGAAGTTGAGGGAATCAAGGGAAAGATTGGTGGATAGGGGAAAACAACACGTTGAGCTCGAAAAAGAATTTGAAGTTGACGTTGAAGTTGATGAGGAAGTTGAATTAGAAGAAGAGGCTGAAGTTGAGGTTGAGATGGTGGAGAATAAACATGGGCTATTACATGGCCCCACGGGAAGTGGACATTCAACCAAGCATTTTACATCCACCCGTGGCCGCTAACAACTTTGAGATAAAGCCTGACCGCCTCACAATGATCCAGAACAATATACAGTTTCATGGGCTTAATGATGAATGACTCGTTCTAAATACAACATCCCAATCGACGAACAAGTATAATCGTCGACCAGGTGTAGCATAGGGCAAGCAAGCAATAAGAATTTATCGTACCATGAGGATAGTGATTGATAGAATTAAACTAACTAACCTAGACTAACCACTAACCTAGCTACTTAAAAGGTGGGAGTTCTCTTGGGTTGAATCGTCTTAGGTCTGTTCTTTGGATTGATGTTGGGTATCCTCCTAGCTCGATCAACTCAAATACACTGCCGTTTGGAGATGAACACCCTCGAGAATGACCCGGAACGGCGAATCGATGGATGGGTAGTGCTCTATTCAACCTAGGGTTTCGTATAATGCTAGGAGACCGATCGAATCAACTCACTCGGGGACAACCTGGACAATATACAATAGGAGTGACCCAAAGATGCCAAAAGGGGGCTCTAAGGGGATTATCTCCCTCCTAGGTCAAAAACTCAATACATGAAAATGGAAACCCAACTCATGCCATTCATGAAAACATCCATCAATTAAGTAAAATCATCAATCAATCATGGATATTGTCACATACATCAACATTAAACCCAAATCTAGACCTAGGGTTCTTAAGCACAAGAGAAGAGGGTGAGTTTCTAGAGAGAGAGAGGAGAGATTACAAAGAAACCTCAAGATCTCCATCTTCTTCTAGGCTTGATTCGTAGCTTCCAAACTTGATCAATGCTGTCAATTAAGCTCCAAGATCACTCTTTCTCTCATTAGAACTCCCCTTTGGTGTTTTGGGTTGAAACCCTAGAGAAAGAAAGTGTTCCTTCTCTAAAAACCAGCTCCCATTTCTTCTTCCTTCTGCTGTTGTTTTTATACCTAGATCGAGCTGAGTTCACGGCCTTCCAATTCATGCCCGTGAACACCTAAACGCATCCATGAACTCAGTGTCGTCTCCAAAACACACTGCTTCACTCTCCGGGGTTCACGGTTTGTGCTCCAAGTTCACATTCTTATAACTGCCTTGTTGTCAGTAACCTCTGGAACCCACCTAGAGGCCTCGTTGTTCACGATTTGTGGTTCCAGTTCACGGCCTTTGGAGAGCGTGAACTCCAATGTTGGACCATGAACTGAGGCTACTTCGTGGACGCCTGCGCTTTACTATTACGGGGGCAATTGTCACGGTCTGTAGACTTTTCTTCGGTCTTTTTTCGCTTTTCGACCTCCAATCGTCCCAAAACTCGTCATCGACCTTTCCACGCGTGCTAGGACCTGAAATGTATCAAAACAAGCACAACCTAGCGTGAAATATGTCGAGGTACGATGAAATGCAAAGCCAAACGATCAAGATATGAGTGGTAAAATGTGTACAATTGGACCCGAATCACTCCCCCACACTTATACGTTTGCTTGTCCCCAAGCAAACCATTTCACACAAGGTAATCTCTCTACCTATCAAAATTCTTTGGGGACAAATCAAAGGACAACAAGTGGCGAATCTCAAATGGCTATTGGAAATTAACTCAAGGATCGTTGCAAGCAATACCGACATCCACCACAAACGATATTCGAGGCCACCAGAAAAGGGCAAATGAAAAGTGATCACCTTGTCCATGAATCAATGCAAGTCTCAACAGGATCACTCATCAAATACAACTAACCATGCACAAAGTTCAAGTCCAAGGAACATACGGATGGGCAACAAAGGTTTTAACAGGGGCATGATATGACATGCAAAACAAGAACAAATCACTCACTCTCTTGACCAGTGGGGTCGGGCCCTTTTGGTGCAAAGAATGTGCACAATCATCAACACTTGGCCCTATTGTCTCAACACCACGACGACAACCTCTAAATGCTAGAGTTCACGGAATGGTTGTCATCACTAGCTTGTCCGGAGGTCTTAGACACGGGTTCAAATGACTGGCAATTATCTTGGACAAGGGGAAAAGGCTTCTTGGGTAATGGCAAACACATCATGAGGGTCTACATGTTCACCCTAAGACCGAAGGTTCTATGGTTTCAACTAAGAACCTTCCTTACTAACAATGGCCACTAGCATCGGCCAAAAACCTTACTTCTCCCTTCCAAACTATCACTCATCATGAACATCCTTTAAGCTCTCTTCCTCGGTCTACTCTTGCTATCACATTTCACCTTGGTAGTGAAGGAGTTCTAAGAAAATGTGTGGGTTTCAATTGCTTGAGTGCCAAGAAACCTCTCCTAGAGCATACTCTTTGATTCCTTATGGCACTATCTACCTTATTTATCCCGTTTTATCACATCTTTTTCGTTTCCTTTTTCTTCCTTTTTCTTTTGAGGAGGGTACTAGAGAGAAAAACATTTGCCACTTGTACTTTTAACGATCAATGCTCTCTTTTAAGAAATCACTCCAACACTATTCTTCCTTTCACTTTCGTTCCTAGCAAGAACCGCACAAAATCCTCCTATGTAGAACCTCAATGGAACTCAAAAGCTAGAGCTCGGGGACACAAGGACATCACACGTATAGACACGAAGAAAGGATGGGGGGTCGTTCCATAAACACCATTAAGCTTACAAGCAACAAGCTCCTAACATGAGAACGACCCCAAAGTCACAAGGCTCAAAGGGGTTGACTAGTGGATAAATCATTTCTAAGCAATCAAAATTTGGGCGTGGACTAATCCTATGCCCCCATCATACTTACTAGTGATAACTGTGATGTTACTTGCCATGGTAAGAGGGATCTAAGCACACAAGAAGAAAACGATCGGCTCAAAACTAACATAGCTACCTAGTCACCCAACCATCTATTCCAATTCACAAAACATAATGCATGGCAATCGTAATCAACAAGTAATCAAGTCAAGACATCCATTCATTTTAGCACACATGATAACTAAACCTTTGCACTATCCTAATGCACCTCTCAGTCATCATCATAGGACGCACTCGATTACATGCAACAATTCAAGGTTAATGCCAATAAACAAGAGATTCATCCACAAACCAACCACTTTGATCATGCAAACATTGCTTGGAGCCCTCAAATTTTTCAAATTTGGGCATTCAACGTGGCTCCAATCATTCATAATCAAACCCATCACTCACACACATGCACAATAGACTACCCCCCCCCCCCACACACACACACTTAAGCTTGACATTGCCCTCAATGGCGTAAAGTAAGAAGGTAGAACCATGTTACCGGATACAATGTGAATGTTGGTGGTATGGAGCGGAGATCGGGCGAGATCCGGAAGAGCAAGGAGACGGCAAAACACCACCAAAATCTCTCCAATGGTCTTCTTATTGGATAGGAAAGCAAACAAACCGATGGTAGATGGGTTGCCTCCCACCAAGCGCTTCTTTGACATCGTGAGCCGGACTGTTTGATCCTCAAGTTTCGGTCCACCCTAGAACCTCCTTGAAGTTGAGGTTCTCGTTGGTGAGGTGATGTCTCAAGTTACGAGCATTGGATGAGTCCATGATTTAGGGCTCGTGAACTTGAGTGGCTTTGAGGCTCCACCCACGAGACCTCTTCTTCTTTCCTTCTTCCTTCTTCTCTATGCCCCACACCATGTATGCATCATATATTTACCACCATCGCATCCGCCAAGAGGGATCGCTGATGGTTTGGCCTTGGCTTGGCAAAGAGCAGCAAATGGGTCCTTCTCCAAAAGCGCATCGAGTTCGGGTGGAAAGCTTTTATAGCCCTCGTAACTTGTGGATGCTTCATCCACCTCGACCTCGTCCTCATCTTGGACTTCACTTGCTTCTTCTACTTCTTCCTCAACCTCCCTTCCTTCTTCATCAATTTTCACCCCTTTAGAACACTCAAGATCTTCCTCCTCTTTAAAGCTCGCTTCCTCCTTTTCAACATCTTCTTTCTCCTTCCCATTCATGTCTTTAAGCACTGTTTGGAGGGTATGACGCCATGCAAGATCATAGAAAGGATTCTCTTTCTCCTCCACACTCGTGACTTTGTCTTTAAAGTTCCTCTGAGGAATGGGAAAGTGATGGGAGACGTCAATGTAAACCTTCTTGTTCGTTCTCGCCACGGGAGCTCTCCGGGGGTGAGTTCCTCTTGCTCCATATGGTTATCGTTGATTGCCCTTTCAACCTCCTCGTTCTCCTCCAATAATGGAGGTGATAGCTTTCACAAGCCCGTTCCACCTTCTCCTCCAATGATGAGAGGTGATAGCTTGCACAAGCTTGTGCTACCTTCTCTTCTAGTGTCAAACCGGGAGGAGGGAGGGGTTGGAAATCCATGTTGGAGCTTGTTCTTGCAAAATTCTCCATGGCAAGCTCCAACTTGGACTTCGCTTCGGGTTGTGGGAGATCCAAGTTCGAGCACCCTTCATCGGTGCCTCGAACAAACCGCTCCACCATGAGCTCCAATTGGCTCTTCGGCTCCGGTTGTGGAGTGGCACATAGTCTTGAAGGATGCCCCATGAAAGCTTTCATTGCCAACTCCAACTTAGATTTCTCCTCGACTTGAGGAGTGAAGTTCTCTTGATATGGGGGAGCTTCTTGAAATCCCCAATGGTATGCTTTTTCTTCTTGGAAGGGAGGTTGATCATGAAACCCGGTTTCTTGGCTTCCACCTTCTTGGTTACACCATGAAGCTCCGGGGTACCCCCATTCGGGTTGTTGTGGATACCCCCATGTTGTAGAAGCCATTGGGATCCATGATTCAACCTCCATAAATAAAAAAAAATAAAAACAAAATCAAACAAACACAAACCACCCTTCTAAGAGAAGAGTGGGTCAACAAACACAAAACAAATGGCTAAAGTAACGGCCTAACCCTTTTTCAAATAACCTAGAATGCTTCCCCGGCAACGGCGCCAAAAACTTGACTCGTTCTAACTGCAACATCCCAGTCGACGGCCAAGTATAACCGCCGACCGGGTGTAGCATAGGGCAAGCAAGCAATAAGAATTTATCGTACCACAGGGATCTAGGATTACCCTATGTTACACCCCGACATTTGAAGTTTAGGTTCGACCGAACAGTTGGATCAACGATATGTACGAAGTTTAAGATCGAGCAGAGATTAGAAATAATAATAATAATAATAATAATAATAATAATAATAATAATAATAATAATAATAATAACATTATAATCATTGTTATTATTGTTATTATTATTATTATCATAAATCATCTTCTCATCACCATCATCATTCTCGTTTCTTCCATCTCAAGGCAAACAAGTCATTTAATAATAAAAAGAAAAAAATCAATAAACTCCCCCCTCCAAACCCGTTACCTTGTCCATAATAATTCCAACATATTCCCTCATCTTCCGTTCAACAATAAACACCCAACAGCATCCCTATAATTGAAACGGGGAGCAGGAACCAAACACAAACCTAAGAACCCCTTCCAACCGGACTTCTTCTTCCCAGCGAGACAAGCGAAGCGAGCAATATCCATTTCCGTCCCGACGAACATCTCGGCGATAACCGAACGACAACACAGGATCTTCGAACGACACCGAGCATTGGACGTTTCCCGTCCGCTCCAGGAACACATCCAGCCATCCCTTCTCGGAGGTCAGTAGGTGAGAACCTCGAACTCAATCCTTCGTGAGCTCGTTTAAACTCCGATTAAAACGACAAACCTCGTGATGAGCGTAGCTTCGACGATGATCACGACGCAGTTGATCTCAATCAAGCTTCAAAACCTTGGTACCATCGCGTAGTGGACGATCTCAGGAACACCGCGGTTTCGACGGAATCAAATTTCGACGTTGGACGAGGGAGATACGAGCCTCGAAAGTTTGGGATGCAAATAGGATAGGTCATGAACCAAATCTGTCCATTCAAAAAGTATAAGAACCAAGAGAGTAATTTCATTTAATTCTGTGGAAAAATTTCCTTGTTAGTCCCCCATATTTTCAGTACGAGCAGCTTAGTCCCCAGTGTTTTAAACATTTACAATTGGTCGAAAACAATATTTTCTCATAATTTTATTATTATTTTTGTTGTGTGCAGTGGGTATTTTCAAAGGATGATAATTTTATAAATAAGATAAAACTAATAGGAGAATGGGATATTAATTCGAGAATTTTTGAAGATAATTTTCAAATTATAAAAAATTATTAGGAAGATGGATTTAGTTAAATAAAATAGTGTTCGGACAGTTTTGATAATTTTATTCGAAGACATATACTGTTATGTTTGTCCAGAAATTGTTGGGTGATTTTTCGAGTTGATAATTAAAAAAATTTATGTGATATTCGTTTTAATTAATTTAATTATTATATATATATATTATATGACTTTGTTAATTTTGTGCAAGACTAGAATATTGAATTTGGTTAGGGGAATCAAGAACCATTTAGACATTTGTAGCATAGGTTTAAAAATTATTTATTAAATAAGAAGGAGGGGTAATTAAGGTTTAAATTATAGTTAATGATTTTGGTTTATGTTTTAAGTTATTAGAAGTCAGAATTTGTAGTTTGAGGGGTCAGGGATTTTTGGAAAATTCAGGAGAATTTTTATGAGATTTATGCAAAGGATTATTTAATTAGTTAGGACGAGTTAAGGCTTTTTTAAAGAATTATGGGACTAAGCGAGGAGAACGGAAAATTTTGCGGAATAGCGACTAATGGAAATTTAATCTCGATTTATAGGATCAAGGAGGCGATCAAATTAAGGGACCCCACGTCAAAGGAAGTAAAGTATTGGCACTTGAGAGGTGAGCGTAAAGGGGGTAAAATCGTCGTCGATGTCTTTTAGTTTATGTCTTTTAATTCATTTATGTTGGTTATTTTTTTTTAATTAAGCGTGATTATGTGTGTGAGGCATCCCACCGCCTAGTTAAGGTGGAGGCACGCGTTGTGCTATGTATGTGATGTATGTATGTAAGATGAACCACCCGGGCGGTTGGGCCACTACTGGAGGTAGTAGATGGTCGGGTCACTACTGGACGGCAATACTTAACGCAGTAGTTGACCAGCATGGACTGGACGGCGATACGTAACGCAGTACCATTGCCTTGAGGATAGGGACACTGGACGACGATACGTAACGCGGTGAACCCTAGTAATAAGTATATAAATTACGATAGAAGTACTGAACTTCTATAAGCTATCAGGGACTAAAATATTAAGGATGAAAGCGAGAACGACTTTCATGTAAGAGGAAGTAATTTCTAATAATGTGTTAGTAGGGTTTGCTTAGGCAAAGACCTTAGAAAGTACGACGAGACTGATCCCTTCTCACTCACCAGGTGTAGAAAGGGGAAGAGGGCATAACCAGCACAAGGAGATTAATCAAGGAGGTCAGCGGCGTCAAGGTTGAAGATGTCGGAAGGATCAGGGTATTGAGATGGGACCCTTTTTATCATATTTGTCTTTATTTCTTGTCCTATGAGTATACTAGGAAACTCAGGTTTTCTGTTCAAGTGTTTGGATTGAGATTTACCCAACTGTTTAGGGCTTTTCGTTTGAGATTTTTGGTTATTGTCGTTGGTTGATTTTTGGTTTGACTTTAAAACATGGTTTGGGTTGCTCCGGAGTAACCGGTTTTTTGTTTGAAAATTTTGGTTTGATTTGTCCAAAAGATCGGGTTGTTTCATTTTGGTATCAGAGCCTGCATTTCTCTGTTTCTTGGTCTACAAGAAATACTGGAATGATGATCTGAGTTTTCAAAGGTTCAGTTTTAAAGGAAAAAAGAAATTTAAAAATAAATGGTTGGCCAACCGATTTGAAGAGGTTTATAGAGTTTCCAGTATACTCAAGCATGATAAGACAAATAAATGTGGTTCTAATAAGGGTACTACTTACTTGCAGAGCAAGTAACGCGCATGTTAATCTCGTGGCGACTAGGAACCCCCCGGATTACATAGCTTTTCGGAGGAGAGGAGTAGTAGACTTTGATGGGGATCGCTCGACGGATGCAAGTGAGGTGGAGAAATGGCTGGAGAAGGTCACCCGCACGTTGACCGAAATGCGGGCAGATGATGAGGATAGGGTACTGCTAATGGTATCCCTACTGCAAGATGCGGCATACAATTGGTGGACCACCCAACCAGCCAGTCGAGTGGAGTGGACCCACCAGCCATCACCTGGCCAGAGCTGGTGCAGATATTCCGCGACCATTTTGTGCCCGATGCCTACCATCTCGGCAAGCAGAGGGAGTTTATATTGATCAAGCAGAGGTGGGGCAATGAAGGCAAGGAGGGCATTGCGGAGTATACCTTGTGGCTCGAGAAGCTACTGCCCTATGGAGGACCCCAATTCCAAGGGGAGGCGGCCCAATGTGTCCACTATTTAGAGAGTCTGAAGCTTGCCCTTAAGAAGCAGTTGAGTATGCTGATTTGAAACAACATAGAGGAAATTTATCAGGCGGCTCTCCAAATAGAGAGGGCCGAGGCAACCTCACATGAGGAAGCGGTACAGCGAGAGAATAGCAAGAGGAAGGAAAGTAACATGCCTGAGGGAGCTGGCCAGTCGAGTCAGTTCAGGAGGAGGCCGAGTGGTACCTCCAGCAGGGGGACAGCAAAGCCGCTCTTTCCGCAGCCAGGGAGGGAGTACTGGGCGATTTGGCCGTAACGATCGAGGAAAAAACTAGGGGCCTCCAGCAGGGGGACAGTCGAGGCTTTTTGCCATGAGGAGAGATGAAGTGGAGGCAGCACCCGAGGTGGTGACTGGTATGATTTACCTTTACAAGTACCCTGCATTTGTCCTTACTGATTCCGGTTCCACGCATTCTTTTGTTTCGACCAAGTTTGCGAGAGCTTTAGTGTTGCCTCACGTGAAGTTAGGCCAAAATCTAGGGGTAAGCACCCCGGTGGGAGAGCAATTGATTGTAGACTTGATCATCCGCGATTGTCCAGTTACAGTAGTCGGACATGAGCTCGAGGCCAATTTGGTTCTACTGTCCTTT